CCGCCTTCCCGGAGAGGCTCAGGCGCCGAGTGCGCGGACGGGCACACGAACAGACGGCCCTGGGGACGCCTCGGCCCGCACCTCCCGGGCGGGCTATGTTGATTGTCCTACCGGGGTCGGCCCGCGGGATCAGCACACCTCGGCCCGCGGCCCCGGTGACCAGGGGGGACTATGAACCGGAAAGCGCGGCGCTGCCTGGGCCACCTCTTTCTCAGCCTGGGCATGGTCTACCTCCGGATCGGGTAAGGGCCTCTCGCAGCCCCTGCACGCGTGTCCCGGAAAAGTTGGCGTGGCCTGGGGAAAGGCTGTGCTGCCTAAGAGCCGCCAACTTCCGTGGCCCCATCAGAGAGGCCGGGTGGGCAGGGTGCGGGAGAGGTGGGTGCACAAAGGCCCCCCGCAGGCAGGCGCCCCAGTTCTTGTACGTCAGTTCGAGAGGTACGAGCTGGTAGACCCGCCATCCTGAGGATGTCTGAGTCTGGAAGCCCTCAGAACTAGAGATAGCCAGTAGGGACGCTCCAGCTTGGGGGGCTAGGGTTAGCCAATCGCAGAGGCCCTTCAGTCCCGGGCATGGGAACAGCAGGTCCAGCAGGAACACTGTGTCGGTATCTGGGACCACAACTGCTCCCAGGGAACTCATCCCCCAGAGCCTCAGAGGCACGGACACAAACGCTCCTAGAGACAGGGCAGTGCCCGCGGGGCCGGCGGGGCCGTCCGAACAACAGGGAACAGGTACCCAGAGGGAGGGATGTTCTTGGACAAAAAACACCAACCCTGCTCAGAACCCTGACACTACACGATTGCTAAGGACCCTAGGACGTCCAGAGCCTTTCCTAGGCCAATGGAACAGCGTCTACTAGCCGAAACAGACACACACAGAGACAGGACGAGAGCTGGCCCCGAGACACCAAAGGAGGCAAGTTCACAGAGCCAGCGCCCGAGAAAGGCGGGATACCCTAACCTAAAACTGGGTGCCAGAATCGGTCTGCGCACGGGCGGAGCAGCCCCCTCCCCCAGTCACCACTGCATTTCTATGGAGGTGGGCTGGGGCGGTGCTCAGTTTGGAAGTTTGGGGTGGGGGCTCCAAACGGGTCTTGGAGCTGCATTTGCACGGCCAGTCACCCTTTGTACTTAAGAGATAATGCGTGTGAAGCACGGAATGGTGAAGGGGGGGGGGGCTTTAAGGATTGATAGAGGTTGTGGCGCTGATGGGCCACCTTGGCAGGTTGCACACAACCTGCTCCCCCACCCCCAGCTGGGAACCTCCCTACTGCTCTGCTTGGGGAGGGGCGGGCTGGCTGCCCGGGCTGCTGCGAGGGGTGGTGTGTGGCAGATCCTTTGTGTTTTGTCACTACCACTCCTCCCCTTTGCCCACCTCGCTTCTCTGGAGCAGGGATTTCTCAGGTTGACCCGCAGTGGAAGCAAGCAAGTGCGCACAGAGCTAACGAGCCGGCCCGCCAGCCCCAACTGCTGGCAGAGCAGGCGACTGCGGGCGTGGCCCTCGCTGCGGGGCCCGCGCACTGCCGGCCTCCTGTGTGTTTTAAGTGTTATTGATTCGCCCGCGGCTGAGTGGCTTCTCTCCCCCGCCTCCCCCCCCCCCCCCCCCTCCTGCTTTAATCTTCACTTTGGCTCGCGCACCCGCAGCCACGCGCGCATCTAGCATCCAGGAAGCCGGTCTGGCTGATTGGCGCTAGCCGCTTGTGGCTTTATCTTCTTTTTAATTAGAAACGGGGTGGAGGGACCCGGAGGGGAGAGAGAAAGGAAAAACAACAGAAAATAACCTCCCCTGGCTGCACCGCCTGCCCGACCTCCCGCCGGCGCCAGCACCTCATTGACCCCGTGGGGGCCCAGCTGCCCCGGGGGAGGGATCCAGGAAGGGCGCTAGCCGAACTGCGGCCCAGCAGCTGCCCTTTGGGGCCCAAAGAAGTCCAGGTCGGGAGGAATTGCAGGGTAATTTGGGACCAGGCCCTGCTGCTCCGTGAGCCTTGGGTTATCTATCTGTAAAATGAGCATGCGGGGTGAAGTCCCTAAGAGGCCGTCTAGTTCCCCAGATATGACTGGTTCCTTCTGATGGCAGGACATCTGTGGTATTCTCATTTTATCTGGATAGTTCCAATGATTGAAGCACCAGCCCCTGTGACAATCAGATCTAATAATAATAATAATAATAACAACTTTAACAACAACATCTTCTAAGCACTCTCCATGTTTTAACACGTTTAATTTTTACAGCAATCCTGTGAGGTGGGGGCTAATTATTATTATCCTCATTTTAGCCATGGAAGTACAGAGAGGAAGTGTAACTTGCCCAAGGTCACACAGTTAGTAAGCGAAGGAAACTTACATGGCACCCTAGCTCTGACCACTTAGCCAGGAGCCTATTGTTCCTATGAATTTTTGACCCTAATATATCATTACACTTCTCTGCTGGTGTAGGAATTTCCTTGTGGTCAGGTAAGAGTTCAAAGATTCCTCCTGACTTATGGATAGAACCTCCACTTAATCTTTCTATGCCACTTCTTTCTCAAACAATTCAAACATCCTAGCTCTGTGTAGACTCTGTTTTAATGGCTGAGATGAATGGCTGTAGCTTCTGTTTCAAATCCATTACCTGCTAGCCTCCATGTCTCAATCTCTGCGAACCCCAGTTTTCAGACATGTGAAATAGATATGGTGAGTCTTGCCCAACAGGGCTGTTTAGAAAGGTCGCATGGGCTAATGTTAGTGACAGCATTCACCATACAGACTTGACACATACTAGGGATGCTGCAAAAGTTCACCGAGGCAGTCAATTCCATATTTGGGAAGCAGGTGCTCACCTTAAGTGACATTTTTAAAGTTCTACAATCAATTTATGCAGTAACCATTTAGTGAACCGGCAGACAGCCTTCCTGCCCTCAAAGAGCTCACAGTCTAATGAGAAAGGCAATGAACAAATGAGCAGACAAATGAAAAACAAACACACATTAAGACATTTCAGAGGACTGGACCATGAGTAGCAAGAGTATTAAGAAACACAAAACGGAGATTGTGATGGAAAGTTAGGAGGGGAGGGGTGGGAAAGCAGGTGACTCAAGGTCACATAAATGATAACAAGAAGCCAAGCATGTGAAGCTCAGGGGGTGAGACAGCTTCTAGGGAGAGGTACCAACAAGGACAAAGGGCCTGAGACAGGAAGAAGCTGGTGTGAGGCAGGAGCAGAGGGAAAAAGGACAGGAGTGGTCAGTTAGGCACCTGGAAAGGAGTGGGATCAGCTCATCTCTGGTGCTATTGACACAGAGTAACTGCGCTTTAAGAAATCCCAATTCCAGAACAACTTCCCATGCCTGAGCTCCAGGATGGAAAGCATGGGGCACTTAGTCCAGTTGCTGGCCATGGCCCTCAATAAGTGGAAGCTCTTATTATTATAACTACAGTGAGACATCTGGGGTGAGATCTCTTTCAAAGTAGACTTGAGGATTATACAAAAGGAAACTCCATATGAATGGGCCATCTTTATGCAAATGAAGGACTACCTGCATCATTAGGGTTACCATCTGAGCCTGTTTGGGGTTATCTTGATATTAAAAATGGCCCCATCCTCAGGCCAGGTATCCACAAGTCACACTGATGCCTGTCTTTCTACCTTCTCCATCTGTCCCGTTAGCTCCACCCCATCCATCAGTCCATCAATCCATAGCAAGTTTGGTCAGCTCCATCTGCAGCCATCCCCAAAGGCCAAGCCACCACCACCTCTTGCCTGCTCACTCTCCCTGCTTCTGCCCTGGCATCTTATAGTCCTCTCCCATGGGGCTGGAGAGATGGGACACTGTCAGTATCATGCTTACAGCCTTTCAGTGCTTTCTGATACCTGAGAACATTCTAGCCCTGAGTCATATTTTGTCCCCAGATTGTCCTCCTTCCTAAGCTCTGGTTTGTATCACCTTCTATGGGTTCTTTCTGTTTCTTGGAGACCCCAAGCTTGTCCCCTTCCATAACTTCGTTTTCTGTTCCCTCTGCCCATAAATACTCTTCCCCATACCTTTCCACTGCTGATCATTCAGGTCCCTGCTTCACTGCCACTTCCTCAGAAGACCCTTCTTGACCACCCCAGCTAAAGTGGCTCTGTCCCTTCCCTCCCAAACCCACCCTTGCTGCCATCACAGCATCTTTACTTAGGCTCCGTAGTGTGCACCACTGTCTGGAATGGCTTGTTGTATTTGTTTATGGTGCGTACATTGTCTCCCTCTGTAGCTCTTCGAGTGCAGGGCCTTGGCACCTGAGAGATGTCTGATATGTGTCTATTCAGTGAATGACTCTCCAGAATAGGCATAAGCTTCCTCTAGGCCAGTCATGTCTAGAGGAGGCTACATATACACCATTGGCATGCAGGGAGCAAACCTAGAACTTGTATTCACAATTTCTGCTTAAATATTTTTTGGTAATAAAACATACACATACATACTAGAGAGTATATAAAACATGTACAAACAGTTGTTTTTTTAAATGAACATCTGTGTACTCACCAACCTTTCAGAGGCAATTGCTGCATGAAATTGTAGTATCCCTTGCTTGCCTTTATCGTTTTCCCACATAAAGATGATTCCTAAACAATATTGGGATTCATTTTGCATGATTTTAAATTTCATCTCAATTGAAACCTACCATAATTAGAAAGGCAACTTGCTTAGTTCCAACATTTATGTTTGACATACATCATCTTATTTTTTGCTATTGAAAAAGGAAATCAAGCCTCACTAATATTGTATATACACCCCACAGAGAAACCAATGTGAAACCACAGGTGAATAAACCTGGGTTGGGGTGCTGTATCAAAAAAGTTGGGAGACTCCTGCTGGGAGCTGTGGGGTGAGGTGGCCAGGGATGGATACCAGGGAGGACCTGTAGTCCATGCCCCACCCTGCGAGCCTAATGCTCCGTCTCTCTGTGTCCCCTGCTCCAGTGGCTTCTCCTCGGTGGTAGCTCTGGGCGCGAGCATCATCTGTAACAAGATCCCAGGCCTGGCTCCCAGACAGCGGGCGATCTGCCAGAGCCGGCCCGACGCCATCATCGTCATAGGAGAAGGCTCACAAATGGGCCTGGACGAGTGTCAGTTTCAGTTCCGCAATGGCCGCTGGAACTGCTCCGCGCTGGGGGAGCGCACCGTCTTCGGGAAGGAGCTCAAAGTGGGTACGTGCTCACCGGACACTGCAAACAGGCAAAAAGGGTCTTACAGGCTACTGACAGAATACTCTTGGGAGCCCTCTGGGACTCCTCACCTGCCCATGCTGGGATGACCCCACTGTGGGATCCTCAAGGGGCTGCGACTTGAATTCAGGTCTCCTAACAAGAGTCGGCTCTCTGGTTTGAATCCAGACCACCCTGGCCCTGTATGGCAGAGTTGAATACTAACTGGTTGATACAGCACTTATGTTGTTTTTTGAATTGAAGCCCAAATTTAAAATTAGCCATTTTACCTAAAAATAAAATTTCTGAATTCTTTTGAAAAATAGGCTTACACATGTATCCACATAGTTATTATGGGCTAGATCTGAGAACACAGCTTCCTTTAGGTGGAGCCTAGGCAACCCATTTACTGCCATAGTCCCCACCACTCCCTATTATCCATCTTAAATTCACCCTTATATGATACTAGAGGCCCAGTGCATGAAATTCATGCACTGGTGGGGGAGGGGTCCCTCAGCCTAGCCTGCACCCTCTCAGAGTCTGGGAGCCCTCGGGGGTTGTCTGACTGCTGGCTTAAACATGCTCCCCCTGGCTGATCGGTGCTCCCCTGTGGGAGCACACTGACCACCAGGGGGCAGCTCCTGCGTTGAGTGTCTGCCCCTGGTGGTCAGTGCATGTCATAGCAACCAGTCGTTCTGCCATTTGGTTGATTTGCATATTAGCCTTTTATTATGTAGGATGCCTGGCCACTGTGGGCATTTCAGTTTGCAACCCCTGTGTGTTGCTTAGACACACCACACACACATACACACACACACACACACACACACACACACACACACAGAGGCACAAAGTGTCAGGCCATGCATTTGGTTTTCAAACCAATGTGAGAAAAGCCTGGTAGGAAGGGGTTGGTCATGGGAGCCCTGGTTAGTGAGGGGAAGGCCATGTTGTGTGTCTTGCTTATGTGCATTGGACTGGAGGGCCAGCGACTCTGCAGGCTTGCTTTGAGCTGTGGACCTGCCTGAAGGTCAGGTCAGCCTCGTCTCTTTGGGCTGGAGTGGTTCACCTGGCCTACTCCACTGCTCAGAGGGCACCCCTGAGTTATTTCCCACAGCCTCAACATCAACAAGTGCAATGGTTACTGAGAAAATTCACCCAAAACCCAGCCACTGCTCTGAGTCCTCTCTTCCTTCCTCTTGGATCATACAGCTGGCGTATTTGGGCTCTCAGGTCCCCTGTCCCACTCCCATCAACCTGCTGCCCCCATCCTCCTGCAGATCCTCCTGCAGGCAAGGGCATCTACACTAATAAAAGAGAAACATGGTAATTGGCGTACGACCGCTACCCTTCCCATTGGCTAATCAGGGAGATATGCAAATTAACTGTCAGCCAAGATGGCGGCCGGCAGCCAGGCAGCTGATGCGAACAGGGAGGCTTGCTTCCTGCAGTGAAGGAGGACTCCAACGTTCCCCGCCTGCCTTGCCGGCCTCTGAGCTTCAGTTGGAAACATTGTAACATTTATAGAAGATAAACAAAACCCCAGAAACCTCCTGTCAGTCAGCCGGGATCTCAGAGCTGGAGTCGCAACATTGTTTCGAATACAGAAAACAAAGCCCAGAAACCTGCTTTCAGCAGCCGAGCCTCAGAGAGAAAGCCGGCTCTCAGCTCCAGTGACAGCCATAGAAGGTAAATAAATGCCAGAATAAAAAAAAAAAGAAAAAAAGGAGAGGTTTGGAGCTTCAGTCGCCCGCCAGCCTGAAAACGGCCCTCAGCCCCTCACCCAGACTGGCCAGGCACCCCAGTGGGGACCCCCACCCTGAAGCAACAAGATGGCGGCTAATTTGCATACTGAAGGCAGGCGGCAGCAGGCAAGGCTGTCTGCGGTCTGGGACCCGGATCTGTGACCCTGCCGGGCGGGGGGCAGCGCGGGAGGCTGTCCGCAGTCCAGGACCCGGATCTGTGACCCTGCCGGGCGGGGGGCAG